CTTGGTCCTTTCATTTTTTTGTTTTGGCCTCTTTTTCATTTGTCTGTAGACACAAAGATCAGCTTCTCTGATACAAAGATGTAGCACTTGATTACATTTTGTCCAGCTTCTGCTTGCTGTCATAACTAGCAAAGATACTGGGAGGAGAGGAGAAGTGACAAGAATAAATCAGTGTGCCTGTGAGTAGTGGTGCAATGGCAGTGGGCAAGAATAATCAGTAGTTCCATGCAGTCAAGAACAGTAATATATTTATTAAGCAGTTACAACCCATTACTTCATTTGAAGCATTTTCTATTAAAAATACCTTGTTATTCTCCATCTCACTTGGATTTGCTCTCTATGTTGCAACTACAGAGCTGTTGTTACAGGATGGAGGCTGTCCACTGGTGCCTGCAAATGGCCCCATACACAACACCACTGGAAACAGTCAACTGCTGAAGCATAGTTCATTTGTTACAGCAAGTAATGATATCTAGAGGCTGTAGAAATTAAAGCTAAGGTGACAATGAGCAGTAATAGATACTCCAAGGTTATAAAAAAACTTCCATGTTTTGAAGAGGAAAATCAGACGAGGGGAATTACAACTTCAAGCAATTAGATTTTGCATGCTGGTGGAGCTAAACTTACGTCTTCTTGTGGAAATAGAACATGTGTCTTAAGCCTGAGTGGGTCAGGTTATGTCTGCCCCCCACCCTGCGAGCTGGTGGCCTGTCCCAAGGGAGGTGCCTGATGCCCTGAAGCTGGGACTGGCCCCTTGCCACTGGCTGCCCTGCACCTGGCTGGGAGTGGGATGGGCCCTGACTACTCCCCTGCCACTCCCTGCCCCTGAAGCCTCCCTGACACCCTTTTCTGAATTAGTATCCTGTGATGTGGGTTATGTTTGGTTGCTTAGTGCTTTTTTGTTATTTCTTGTGGACTTTGTGAGTGTTACTCCCATGTTTTATTCTGGCAGTGCTGTCTTTTTTGCCAGCCTAGACTACTGCCTTATTTCATAGAGGGCCACATGAATTAAGTGGTGGTAATCTCGAAAATGATAACTTGAGGACAGTGATTTTTCATAATGATAAGTAGGTAGATGAAAAATTACCCTTGAATTGTATTAGTGCTTGCAGAGACTTAACCAGTTCTCCTGCCCTGAGCTCTAAGGAGTGCTTGTGATTATGAGAGTGAACTTGAAAGAGAATGAAATTCTAGATTCAGTGAATTTAATAGGGGATTTTCTGCCTTGGTAAGACTAGTAACAGAATTTTCATAATCTCGAGAGATCTTGTCCACACCATGGAGCTTCATGGCATGGGGGAGAAGGGAGTCTCCATGCCATGGAAACAGATTTATGAGGAAATAGGTTTTCTGTTTGACTCTTAAGAAGTCAAATTAGGGGTAGTACAAGGAGGCCATTAGCTGCAGTCCTGAAGTGACTTGTGAAAAAACTGTCCTACTGAAGCAATTCTTTATTTTCTTGTAGTAGACAGACACATACAATTAGTTTATTCTATGTAATTCAACACATCTCACTGTTTGAGAAGGTTTCTGTGCTGCTTGGTTTCATATTATGTTTATAGCTGTTTTTCTCCTGCAGCAACTTAACAAGTGTTTTCTGTGCTCTGAGTTTTGTTTGCTGACATCCTTTAGATGGCCATTACTTGTAGATGTTAACTTCAACTTTAGATGTTAACTTTAGATGTTATTACTTGTTATTACATTTTCACAATTTAAAGGTACTGTAGTATCAACTCTAGTGGCATGGCCCCTTTAGGCTTCTAGGAGAAAAAGGACCAGTAGTAAGTATTTTATACCTGTTCAGTTATTTTTTTGGGATTGCATACTCTGCTTATAAGTTTCTGATTCTATCTCTACTATCTGTCTATACTGTTACATGGTATAGGGAAGCTGTGTCTGGTTTTTGTCAAATTTGTCATTTTCTGAATCACTGTTTTCCTTCAAGCTTTAGTTAGAGACAAAACTGGAAAGTATTTCCTCTGAAATGCTGTTCTTGCTTACATTTCCAAGGGGGGGGAAAAAAGTCATCTGTTTAACAGCTTGGGGATGTTTCATGTATAGATTCACCACCTGCAAATTTTCAAAATAAGGTCTCTTCTGAAAATGCGATCCTAAATCTGAGGTAACAACAGGATGCCATGGAGAACATTGTTTAGAGGGAGTTTATATTTCCTTGCTGTGATTTTTTCACATCTGTTAGACAGCATTCACACCAAGGAGCATGGACTTTAAAAATTTGTTTCATACCAAAAAACACCAGTAGCTGCATGCTGTGCTTTTCCTATTCCAGACCCAGAAAGGATGTAAATCATTACTGATTCTGTTTAATTAATGCTGCTGAGACTCAGGCAGCTCTGGAGGTCCTAACTCTAATCCTAAATGTTGATAGGTGTCAGAAGAGTTTTCTTGAGCACTCTAGAAAGGAAAGGAAGTGCAATGAATGGAGTGAATATATGCATATTATTTGTATGAATAAGCTGTAACTGTTTCTCCCTGAATACTGTACAATTTTTTCATTGGCTCTGAATGTTCCCGATAAAGATGTAATTTTCTCTTTCTTATATGGATTTTTATTTGTTAATGTTTTTGTAAAGTAGTCTGCTTCATACCTACTCTCTGAAATGTTTGGGTATTTCCCTTTAGGAGTTTCCCCTTTTTCCCAATGATATAATTACATTTTCTCTTGAAGCTATGTGTTCATAACAGAGTAATAAGGAGAGAAGTTGCTTGGTTTGTGATTGATTAGTGGATGTACAATCTCAATTCCCTTGGAAAGTGGGCGTGTGATTGTTTGAGTCTGTGTTTCTTTGGAGAGGGACCATTTCAGGGAATTGTAGTTAGAGCTGCAAACAATCCATTAGTCACTCTTCCAAGCCCTGCCAGTATAATACTGTTCCCTGCAGTACATTATTGAGTGTTTTGTCCAATATCGGTTTAAGTGACTCAAGCCATGAGGCTTCCACCACTTCCTCTGAGAAACTATTTCATGGTCTGACAGAACTAACTGTTAGGAAATATTTCCTGGTACTCAGCCTAAACTTTTTAACACCCAGATTGATCTCATTACTGTTAGGTATGCTTTTTTTCCCCAGCTCTGTCTTGTTTGGCATTCACACTCTTGAGTGAATACTAGATGGTATCATATCTCCTCATAAGTCAAGCAAATGCATAATTAGTTCGTCTATTTCAGCTCTCCAAATAGGCCATCTGTTTGGTGGAAAACAGGGCTGAGTATGGGAAGATTTTTTTCTGCTAAGTGCTTGTTTTAAACAAATAATACGAAAAAGTGCATTAGGAGTTCTTAGTAGCTCCAAGGAGCCCAAACTTACATTTAAAAGGCTTTTCAAAAATTATATAAATTATTGTAACTTTTCCAGGCAATCATTTGAAATAGTATTACCTTTTTCTAGTGCAATATACAGCTCTAGCACTAATAGTCTGTCACATCTCACGTCTTCAGGGAATATTTTGTAATGTTGCTTCATCTATTTATCAAGCAAATTCTAAGTAGCTACAGCCTGGAGAGGAGAGAGCAATGGCAACAGAATTGCAAGCAGATCCAGGGGCCATTTGGATGTTTGTAATTCACAGCTTTACAGCCAGAATTTACAAGTGTTTGGGTCGCATAAGGATTGTTGAGGAAGGAAGTGTAGTTTAATCCATCCAGTCATTACATATCTCTGGATTTCTTCCTGGTAGCCAACATCTGTTTGGTATTCCTCTCCTTCCATCCTTCCTTCCTGCCTCCCTGTCTGCCTTATTATAGTGTAAATTTTCCAAAGATGTATGCAGATAATAAATTGAATTTTGCAGCATCTGGGTATATGCTATTCTTATTTCTTATGGATAGTCTTCTGTTTGGTCAAAGACTCCTAGTCAGTGGAACACTTAAGTTTACAGTAAGACTTCTAAACTAGGACTCCATGCTTGCTTTGAAAAACATGCAGTATAAATCCTAAGCATATATATGTTTATGTTTTTTGACAAATCACTGTATAATTTGGGAACTGAGCCCATGTTTTGTTAATTTTTTACCTCAGGTTACCTGATCTGTGTGGGTTTGTGACCCGGGCTTCCAGCTTGGGGAGTAAACAAGCTGCGTGCACTTCCTCTGAACTGTACTAGAAAGGATGTGCAAGTCCTCAGGCAAGAGCATTCCTGAGCTAACTTATTACAGTTTTACTAAGCTAATTAAGGGAGAAAAACTCAGTGATCACATTAAGATCGAGTCAAGTTTGAACCAAATCAGTGGGTTCAGGTGATTAAACTAACGATTTAATATAGCATATAATCTTATATTGCACACAAGTACGTAAATGCAAAAAAGGAAAAGTTAGGTAAATGACAGTCAGGAAAAGAAAGTGAATAATTCCTGCAGCTTTCTTGTTCTATCATTCACTACCTGAGATGAAGTAGAGATAGATTTGCTGAAGCCTGGGCCATGTGCTGTGTCTGTCAGGAAGTCTCAGGCACTTCCTTCACTTTTAGGTGGAATGTCTGGGGCAGGCAGAATCTCCAAGAGACACTTCCTGTCACAAGGGAAGGAAACACTCATTTCTGTTTCTTTCCCTTCTTCTCACAGGAAGTATTCCTCATTTTTCTGCCTCAGAGGCAATTCCTTTGGGGATGAGCTGTATGGAGTGACACAGGAAGGGGTGGCTACAGTTCAGTCCCCAGCAGGTGGCACATATCTGAGGTGAGGGTGGAAAGCCACCTCTTGAATGGTCCTTCCACTCACATTGATTCCCCCTGTAGATGAGGAGCAGGGTGAATGCAAGACTTTGAAGCACACGTGGCTTTTATGTGATTAAACTCTACCCATATTTAAGGGACTGAAGTATTCCCACTCCCTGTGTCAGTTCTGTGGCAATATTCCTCATGTGTGCCTGTGTCTGACCTGCTCTCTGCCAAAGGGCTGGTCTTCTCTTCCAGAGAAGAAATGGGAGAAGGAACACAGAAAGATTAAGACGTGTTCAAGCGTGTGTTTCCCTTCTGTGCAGGTTATCCAGGCTGTCTTCTTTGGGATTTGCGTCTTGACTGACCTGTCCAGTCTTCTCACTAGAGGGAATGACAGTCAAGAGCAAGAGAGGCAGCTGAAAAAACTCATTTCCCTCCGTGACTGGATGATGGCTGTTCTAGCTTTCCCTGTGGGAGTGGTAAGTACAGTGTTAATATGTGCATGTCTTTGCAAACTGGGTGAACAGTGTTACTTACTGAATGTTTTCTTCCTGAAAGGTTTTGCCACTGCTCTGTAAAAGACTAGATAGAAAGGGGAAAATGGTAGAGGTGATTTTACTACTCAATTGTTTTTCACAGGTGTAAGGGAACAGAATATACAGTGTGTTGCTGAAATAATTTTTGGTTCATTATTAAAAAGTCATGTTACAATATGAACTTGATTGTACAAGTAATTTTAAATGTGTATTGTACCAGCAGCATCTTAAGATTAAATTTAGACTTTCTCTGCACCACATATCATCAGGAATAGTGAAAGTACTGACTGTGGCATGTTTTACACCATAATGACCTGAGGGAATCTGACTGTAAGACCTTTTGGCATTGGCAAGAAGAGAAGCAAAAGTCCAGGTTGCTCCTTGTTAATACCACTGGGAATTCAGAGCTAGCAGAATAAATGAGGTAAATGAGGTAGAAAAAAAGGGATTTTGTTAGTAATGTTAAAAAGCACACAGAAGGTATGTGAAAATGCAGGGTTGACGTGTTTTTTTCAAAAGGAAAATATTCTTTGGATCAAGTCTTGCTCCACTGGGACATTGCATGTCACTTTCAATGGCATGAGGTGCTCAGTGTCTTCACATAGCTAATAATGCTGCTAAAATTTTATGAGTTTTTACATGGAATGTCATCTGTGTTAATCTAGTTCCAAGCTTAGTTTGCAGTGCAAAAATGTGTGAACATTTCATTAAGGTTATTGCTTTTGTTGTAATTCAGTATTAAACTTTAATTCTCTTTTTTTTTTCATTGTACATTAGTTCAAAATAAATTCACTAGAAGCAGATTTTTTAATGGACTATTAGAAAGCTGCATGAGATCTTTAAAGTTGTACTTTCACAACAGCTGATCACTTTCTGGCAGTTACCAGCAGCTAACATATCAAGCTATCACTTATGATTTCATATATTCAGCGATGCTTCATTAGAATTTCATTTCACCATTTATGTGGAATTTCACAATACGTGAAGAAATACAGAATAGTTTTGGAAATTACAAAGGCAAAGCATATGTGAAACGCTGCAGGTACTTCTTTAATAAAAACCCAGCTGGTAGCCTTCCCTTATTATACTTGCTAGCCTGCCTTTTGGGAGCTGCCACAATTCATGTTGGGGTAGAAGACTGCAGTTTTCCAGCAATGGTAGAGGATACTGGGTCAGCTAATATAGCTAGTAGAAAATCTGTGCATAGACAAGTTTGCAAATATGCATTTTATGAGTGCAGAGATTTATGCTGCATTTGTATTTTTAAGGAAGATGGGGAGTTAGAGGTAGTTGTGATTGTGACTAGCAACAGATGCTTTTCCTACTGTGTTGATAGTAGAAGTGAAAAAGGAGAACAACTTCACACTATTTGTCTGTACTTAAATATTTCAAGTGCCTTTTTCACTCTAGAAGTGTACTCCTTCACACACATCAAAGCACACCCTCCTTGGCTCTCATGCCTCTCAGGATTCAAGGTTTCTTTCCTGCCACTGTTTTAGCTCTATACTGTTGCGTGTCTGCTACTCCACTCTTGGAATGCTCCTGACCTTGAAACTTTTCAAGAACTTGGAGAATTTCAGCTTCACTTTTTCTTGGCAGTTCTGAGGGTTTCTTTTCAGGCAATGTTTCTCTTGCCACCAGTACACAAAGACTCCCAGTTAGCCACTGTCTGCTCTACAGGTGTTCTTGCAACGTTCACAGATTAGCAGTTCCCGAGAGATATGTCACATACCTGGAGATATCTGCTTTCCCAAGGGTTTCATACAAGAACAACTTGTGTCTTAAACAAACCTAGTAAGGAATGGCCATGCTCATTGTACAGATATGCTCCATTTCCAAGTGTGACCTTTCTGTGGTGAGGGGTAAAAATTGTTTACCACTTTATATCTTACAAAGAAATCCTAAAAAGGTTGTTTTTGTTGTTATTTCTTCTCCTGGCCACTGAGAGACAAACAGCAGCACCCCATAACTTCACAGTAGTCTCCGCTCCTTCTTGAAACCCGATCCTCACCAGCAGCAGAGGTCTTACCACACTGCAGCTACCACTTACCAAAGCTTGGCCAGTGCCTGAGAGACTGCTAGGCACTGCAGGCTCTGCTTTGGTGGGATCGGATAGGAAGAGTGCAAAGCCCAAAAGTAGCAAGCATCTAACACAGATGTTGTCTGAAGTGTATTTATGTGGAAGAAAATAGTGCAGTTTTGCTATGATGGAGGTCCTCGTTAGAAGGAAGCTCTTAAACACCGGAGTGTCTACAGAAAAAAGTTAAAAGTTCCCTTGTTTCTCATATTCTTTTAACAGCTTCCTCACTCAAAAAAAAAAAGGGGAAAAAAAAGGAAAGAATTTGAAATGCAAACTTTCTTTCCTTGAGACTCACCCACCTAGCTCTCCATGGAGCTTCTCAGTGGTTTCCACTAATGACACAAGGGAACCTTCACACATAAAAATTGGGCAGATGTGAATAAAATCTTTGTTGGGTTTCTAACGTAACAGTAGTGGTCATGCTTAAGTACTTGTCAGTTACCTTAACATCTAAATTACTTTTATTGCTCAGCGTTTTACACCGGGCATGTTTAGGCAATAATGCAAATACTAGGGGAACATTTTAAAGCCTAATAACTTCAGCTTTTCGGGAGCAATTCACCACTTCTTTTTTTTCTGTATTTCCTGCTTACTGGAGCCCTTGAGATGACTTGTTCTGAAAAACAGATGAGAAAAGGGGTTTACACTCCCAAGTTAAACAATGATGTGAGAAAAAAAAATGTAACAAAGTTCTTCACTTTTAAGAGTTCCTAAAAAACTATTACATACAAACCATCTGGGAAGCCTGACCACCAGCTTCTTCACACTTTCCAGAGGAGGGAAAGAACAGCACAAGGGTAAATAATCTCCTTTTGTGGCTTCACAACAAATCGAGTCTTGCAAACAAATCAAAACGAAAAATCTGTGCAGCAAATCACGTTTCTCTAGTGTTGTGATATGCATTGTGTATATTCAGGGGCTCTGATAAAAAGGAATTGCCAACCTGTATTTCACAGGAGAGTTAAGAAATAAACATGAACATCTTCTAAGGACATAATGGCTACTGTGTGCCTATTGTTGCTCTTTTTAACATGACTTTTCAGAGAATCAAATAAGAAATCAACAGATGAATTTTCTATTCAATAAAGCCTTACTCCACAAAATGTCTGTGGGCAGCACTTCCTAGCCCTTTTTCAGTTCATTATAAGCCTGCAAAACTGTTCAAATGTCTAAGAGATTAGGAAGCATCCACTGAAAAAAATTGCTTGCATAGGCAGTTTAGAAGTTCATTACTAATTTTTGTCTATAATTACTTGGACTTGCCATCCCTTTATCTGTGTAAAGGAGATATATATTGAGTGTAATTTACACTGCTAGATTGATATGAGGCATGCTTCAAAGTCAGACATTACACCAGTGGTTTCGCTTATCCCTACTTTTTTTATTTGTTTGACATAGATCATTAAGTTGCCATGTTTCTGTGGTTAATTAGTGTTTTGTGTAAACTGTATATGGTTTTATCAATATGTTTCTTGTAATTTGTACTGAACAAAAGGAAAAAGAGCTAAAACAGGCCTTTCTGGTTGTTTAAGACTGTGTTTAATAAAAATAGGAAGAAATTGATCCTGTTACATATTAAAAGAGAGATTGCTGCCTAGAAATCACAAACTCTACCACTGATATTTTATATCATGTAGCATCAATAGCTAAGTTTGAACCTGAGTCTAAAATGACTAGAATTACCTCATTTTTTTCTGTTATACTTTTATGGGTTTAAAAACCTGTGGCACAAAGGAGAGAAAGTCAGGCATGCTTTCTTATTTCATGTTTCTCTGTACTAGTAGAGTCAAAATCACCTGATCACCTTTCTGTAGATCATTGGTTATGCTGATCTGTGATCTTATGCCAAGAAAAGATGTGTAGGCATTTGCTGCAGTTTCCTAGTTACCTCGTTACTTGACCAGACTACAGCATAATTTTATTTCCATAACTGACTCAACCATGCAAAAATCTCTCTTCTAGATTTTACCCTCATCTGTTGTGACAAGATGACTGGTGATGGGATAATTAGCGACTAGTGGTGCAATTGCCCCCTGAAGTCTATTCTACAGAGGGGTTTTCCCTGTTTTTATTTCCCACTCATTGGGATTCCTGTCACTGGTGCTTTTCAAATCCATTTGTTGTATTGTGCTAGTTCTTGATCCCACCTAAAGACAGTACCATGCCAAGTTGTACCTACTGTGGTCTGCTTTAACACCGCTTTTCTTCTAGATGTAATATCTCTAACTGTGTAAGAAGTTCACAAACAACATATTTATACTCAGAGTTAACCACAAGGGAGATAGGCAGAAAGCTTACCTTGAGCTGTACTTATAACAAATTGTGTCAGGGTCACAAGAGTTGGTTTTTTTTTCTTTTCATTAGCCATCCAGGAAATGACTGAACTGTGCAGCCCAGCCAAAACCAAAAACACATAGTGTAGGAAAATAAAGTTCCACTGCGTTAATTCTTCGTTTGCATAACATTTCTTGGTTGGACTCATGTAAAAGTGCAAATTATACAATTCTTTTTGTTGGCTTTACTTTCTTAGTTTCTCTTTGCTTCCATTTGTAGTGTTTTGACAAAGCCACTTGATTTCTCTTCTGAATAACCATCCATTTCCCATCTTGTCCTTTAAAACTTTTCCCTTGAAAGGGCCATATGCTGTTCTTGTGTCCTCTGAAGCTTCAGAGACAGAGGATAAGCACTCAAGAAATACCTCCTTAAGTGGGAAGACTGCATTTTGTTTTCAGTCTTATTTTTTTTTCTGCTGCTATTTGTTCAGCAGTCTTTCAGAGGCCTGTAATAAATGAGCTATTCCATATTTTCAGGTTCCAAGGTCTTCTTGCAAATTTGAGGTTTTCTTTGGCCTGTAATGACTGGA